GTTTAAGCAAACTCACATGTATGTTGTCAAAAAAGTTGATGGATTACAAGGTTTAAGAATACATTGTACATAATATTATGGATTTTGTTTTTTGTACATTAAACTAATACATAAATGGTTACCAAAAATGATTTAGAGGGAAAATATTGGATGAAAAAAGTGATTGTGTTTTAAATTGACAAATGGTAGAATATCGTGTGATATTTTGTAATTCATTATATAAATTTTGATGTACACGTATCAAGATCCTAACATCATTTGTCTTGCGGACTTGTGGTGTAATACATGCATATTGATACTTATAGTAAAAATATTCAAACAAGTATCACCATTCACCCATGTAATATTGTGATTGTTAATATAAACGTTCTACAATCGCTTTTTTCGTTGTTGAAAAAAGGGTAACTAAATTATAGTTGCTTCAATGATATTTTATCGACAAGAATAATTAATATAATAACAAATCAAGTAGTTGTTGAAATAAAATTAATCGATTGTCTATTTAATTTTTAACGACTATCTTTCGTTATTGAAACGAAAGGCAACTAAAATTTGGTTGCTTTCATTGTATTTTTAACGACAAAAATAGTTATTACAACAACTAAACAATTGATTATTGAAAAAAAAGTTGTCAATAAAAATCTTTTACGACGAGTTATTCAGTTGCTAGTTAAAATGATGCATTTAACGACCAAATGTATTTTAGTTGTTGAATACATTCGTCAACACAGCTTTGCCAACCAACAAACACCAGCTGATTTTGGTAGTTGAATGTGATCAACAACTTAGGATATGCTCCTTCAGTCATCCTCCTCCTTAAAACTATTTACAAACTAATTATATTTATTAACAACAAATATTTATAGCAATATTTGTCATTATATCAACCAAATTTAATGTTGTCTATTACAACCCCCGACACTCTATTATATTTTGAATAATGATATTCGCAGTCGTTCACTATCGTAGTCGTCTTACATGACATACATGTGGCGATTAATGATTTAATGTATGAGACAATAAAAAACTACTACATTAATTAATCAAATCATTAACCGCCACATTTATACAATAAATGACAATTACGGTAGTGATCGACTAGAAATAGCAATAAGCATTACTCTTATATCTTAGGCAGATATGGCAACCAAAATTAACAACCATCTTGGGAATAATTATAGTATAATAACGCTGTCTAAATCTTCTTGCATTATTGCATAATAATGTTTATTAGATAAATTATGTACTTAATATTAATTAGAATTAATTTAAAATAATGACACTCCTTTGATTTTTTCTTGTCCTTGTCTAATATCACGAGTGTTAAAAATCACCTTAATGTATGGTCATATGTCCAACTAAAATGCATTCTCGAAAATCAAGGATATCTACATTTGATTATTTAAGCAAACTCACATGTATTTGTTAAAAAAGTTTAACCCGAATTCTGTTTTGTACATGGAATGACATATGCTTTGATTATTTAGAGTGCGTCATGTAAATACTAAAATCTAGTTAATTAACCAATTTGTCTCAGTTACATGTATCAGACGGATTTTTCCAATCAGTCAGAACTTCTTACAGACAGTTTCAAGCACAATTCTGATTGAGACAAATTTATTTTCTACAAGTTATAATATATTATGGAAATAAATAACAATGGACACCAAATATAAAACAATAAACCCTTAAGGGAAACATTCACTGGCTACATGCCACAAATAAAATATTCCACACAAAAACCAATAAAGTTACTTTAAATTTCAACCACACATTCTCCAAAAAATACTATTACTTACTTCATTTCTCTACCAATAATGGTAGACAAACACGCTCTAAGATTCACCATCTTAACTCACGTCAAATAGTTTGATCTTTAAGTAGAATTATATCATTCATGCTCAGGTGTGTTCTCTTCAATTACGATTGAAGAACACGATTTTTGCTTCGAGATACTTTAATGGAATATCGGTCCGTTAGAACTCATTGGAGAATGTTAGAAAACTTCTGAACTTGGTGCTGCAGGTCGGATGTAAACCGTTTTATCTCAAAGCCTTTGAATGTCCCTTAATGATTTTCTCAACTTATGTAGAGATCATGGCACGAATGTCTCTTACCTAAAATATAGAAATTCTAAGAATCATGTAGAATGTGTTTGATATGGCCAATAATTAAATTAAGTAATATTTTGATCAGTTAAAATAATTTTTCATGTTTTTAATTATTTGACAAATCAAATATGTTCAAGGTAAGTATATGTTCCTTTATATGCTGTTATAAGGTAGGTAAATATTGCATCTCGATTAGGGTTTTAAAACCCTAAAAATCAGAGCCAAGAATTTATTAACTTGTAGCACTCAGTAAGTCTTAATTGACCGGCTTATCTTGTTTTTGTACTTGCAATTTAACACGCTTTGACACATATTTTGATATTTAAAAAATCATTCTAATTTAAATAAGTCAATAAATAAATAACAAGTAAAAATATAAAATATATTTTACTCGTAAGAAAATATACTGTACACAGTTTTTTAGTTTTTGGGTAAGAACAACCTGACTACATGTACACTGAACATGCAACGAAGCCTGTGTCCACACGCTTTTGTTCCAACCTAACGCATGTGACGAGGTCTATAACAGCAAGTCATTTTGCACTTTCCAATCTCGAGGAAATTTACTGGCAACTTGCATGTGAAGATGCCTTCTTATGTGAATTTAAACATTATCACAAAAAATTATGCTTCCTAAGTTGACTTGTATGTCTTTCTTTAATGCTAACTTCTTTTTTTCATTAATTATGTAATAAGAAGACTTCATTGTTCTATTACAAGTTGTTTGGTAAATGAGTCCATTACTATTTCCTTTTTGATAGAACATTATTTAATTATGATCAATTTTATCAGGATTTTAATCAAAATTTTAACCGTTAAATATCATATCAGCCACTATTTTTGACTTTCCCTCTCACAGGTGGGGCCCACTGGTTGACTGTAACGGCTAGCATTTGGATTAAAATTCCACAAAAATTTCTCACAACTGAGCCACATATCTTGAACTTTTTTTTGGTACATATACTGAACTTGAAGTAAAAGTTTGGTTAATAAAGGAGTGCACATGTGATCTTTGAAAGATATTTTTTTCTTTTCATAATACGAGGTTCAAGAATACATTGTACATAACATCATTTGTCGTGTGGTGCAAGAGATACGTACGAATTAACCGTGTTTTCTTTAAAAAGTCAATTAACGATTTGATTTCATTAGCTGACTTCAAAGAAAGGGACGATCACCCACCCAAAACAAATGAAATTTTTTTCTAGTTTCGTAATGAAATCCTCTCCATCTAGTTTAGATACAGGCCCTGCAGTGTTTTGCTGGAAAATTATAATAAGAAAGGCAGTAAATGAAGGATGTAACAGAAAAGAAAGTCTTAAAAGTCCAGTGCAAAGAGAAATCCAAAATTTTTTAACTTAAAATCTACCAATGATAGAAAGCCTTAAATCATAAATCTAATTAAATGAGTCTCATTTTCCACCTTTAATTTAACTTATCACATAATATTAGCACATGTGGTGCTATAGCATTATTCATTTCAGTTTCCTATCCTAATTATATTAATGATCTCGACTAACTTCTTTAACTTGTGTTTGTTATATTGTGAACGGTTTCTTACTTTCCTACACCTTTGAGCTTTAAATTGTCATGTTGCTTATGGGGTATGCCATAGCTCGAATTGAATCACCTTTTCGAGTATCGACATATTGTGGACTGTCGTCAGTCGAACAATTTAATTAACCACCACAAAATTTTATCACTAAAGACATCACCCAAACACAGGAAAACTGTCGCAAAAAAATATGCAATTTGAACAGTTCAATCGAATTTATAGTAGTATCTGACCAATTATTCTGCAACGGATTTGTTTGTAATTTGAGTGTTTTATTATCAGACGCA